ATTGTATATAGTTAGTTTGTTTTTAATGAAATGAATAAATTATTTTTGACTGAATGAATAAATGATGACAATCCAAAATCTTAAACATATGTAATAGTTTCATTTAATTTTTTCCAGAAAAGCACATTTATGTATTCTTTTATTCTTGTAAATATTCAGTCAACACCAGAACTTTAGATGGTATAACATACTTTTATTTTTCAAATTTTGCATCAAGCAAGCAATCATTCCTGAAGTTCTGTAAATAAGAGAGTGTGGATGTGTTGCTCAGTTGTTTCATTTATTATTATTTCAGCACAAAGGCTAATCAAACACTTAGAAGATCTTATGGGAGCAGATTCAGGTCAGGAAGCCAAGGATGCATCTGTATGTTCTTTATGACAGCTTCTTAGACTCCTGCAAAAAACAAACAAGAATAAATAAATTAATTAAATTAAATTAAAAAAATACCCCAAGAAAAATCAAACCATGGATGAACAAGTGAACAGAAATGTTTATATTTGAAACCTGAGTTTATACGTGTTCTTTTATAAACTGCAAAATTATCTTTAAAAATCACATGCACGATGCATRACAACAAAGTCTGCTAGAACACGTTTACTGCAGGTGTCTCATTTTGATCAATCTTACAGATTTTATGGCATGACATAGGAAAATTAAAAACAACTTAAAGAAAAACAAGTTTACAGTTAACAGAAAAATAATCTTACTTTTATTTCTGAAAAATCTGGTATCTTGGCACAAATGGTTTCTGGTTAGAAGCCCTTGTATCTGGAATAAATACGTAAAATAAAAAGAAATTATAAAAGCCACATTTCTTTGTAATAAAAAGATCCCTGGAGATCTACTGAAGGGTTCTCATTTCACACCAGTATTACAAACTGTAACCAGTGAATCCGGTCACGTTTCAAAAAGCTACTCACTGCACTCATAGAGGCGGTTCACCCGCAGGATGTCGTTGGCACTCATCTCCCTGGCTGTTCCGATGGCAGCGTTGGGGTTGGGGATGGGAATGATGGTGGGCTGTCCGTTTCTAGAAAAGGCAAACCTGTGGAGGGATGTCACAAACAGCACAGTCAGACTCCTTATCACCAACTCCTTAACAAACCATTGTGAAGTTTGCGTGTGTGTGTGTGTGTGTGTGTGTGTGTGTCAGGAGCTGCAACAGCTGGAGCTGAGCTGATAAACAGAGAGCTGACTCCTCAGCCGTTAGTGCTGACAAAAACTGAGTTGAAATGAATCCTTAGCTAACTTAACAAAGGACCAACTAAAAGCCCTTAAATTATTTAAATTCTATCAATGTAAAAGTTTGTTTTTATTCAATCTATTATTGCTCACATGCTTCACAAAGTTCATATCTGTTTAATGTGCTCCTAGGATCTAGTCCTCCTGAAACAGTTTGGACCGAGTTTGTTTTGAATGATTCAGCGTCTGTGTCAGACAATTCACCAATTTTTCTGTAGAAAATGGAACAAAGACGTCTCGATATCAGAATTTTTACAAACACTTGTACAAAATTCCCTGATTTCTGGCAAAAATAAATACAGTATATAGTAGGAAAATGATGATTAAAATAATAGCCTTTGCACAAATCTTTTTAAAGTTTTGTCCTACTCTCAAACTTGGTAGCTTGTCAATATGAAAAAAAAAATCATTTTAAAAACCTTCAAAATATCCATTTAGTGGACAGGTTTATCCATCAGTGTCTAGGAATATAATTTTCTTGCTGAAAAACTGTTCAGGTGGTCTGCAGACATGTTACCTTCCATAGTGCATGACAGAGTTGTAGTCATAGGGAGTGTTGAGGTTGTTGGTATTGATAATCCTGAAGTTATGCTCCATTCCTGTAAAGAAGTGACTCAAGTCAGATCATTTCCTGCTTTAAACAAGCAGGAAAGTTCAAAAAAGGAAACACAGATAAATTAGTCACATGTTCAGCCTGATAATGCTTTACATCTTTCTTCTTAGTCCTGATCTTATGATCATATTATTTATCATTTTAACCTGCACTTTCTGTGCAAACTGTTTTGATGCTGTCTATTTAAATCTAAGTCCAGCTTTCAGATCGGTTCATTCCAGTTTGATTTGGGTTTACGACTATATACATTAGTGGCGCAGAAACTAAAATGAATTAAAATACGTCAACAAGGGAAGACTTGTCCATCAAGCCTTGTTGGAGCCAGAGTCTGACCCAGAGCCAGAGGAGAATGAAGATGACAAAACAAATTTTGATGGTAAGTCCAGACCTTTTATGGCAGTTTCATCACAAATACTGTAATGTCAAATTTCAGAAAACATTAGAGTCCCCATACGCCCCCTTTAACGAACTGATTCAGCAGTAAAATTCAACCCACCACGGATCACATTCTGCAGGAGGATCTGGACGTGCTGGTCCCTGTCAGACCGGGTCTGCTCATGGTTGAAGCCCAGCGCGTGGAGGAACTCATGCTGGACGATCTGGTGGAACACACAACCCTGGCGACTCAGGGACAGAACCTGGGCACCACCAGTACGTCCAATAAATGAAAAGCACCTGAAAGAGAAACATTGAAAAGCACTAATAGCACCAGAGCTGCCGCAGGAAGACGAGAACATGGAAACGCTGATCTTAGTGTGGTCGTTACCCAGAGCGAGACTGGATGTCCACAAAGTCCCTTTCGCTTTGACGGGGCCTGAAGCGGATGCAGGTAGAAGCTTGAAAAGAGTTCAGAGCTCTGACGATGACGTCTCTTTCTCTTTGAGCTAGAAGAAAATAACAAGAAAATCAAGATTCAAGCTAATTTTTACCATGTTGTGAACAGTTATGGTGTCAGAGACTTCACCTAGACTTGGGACTTTCATCAAGTAAAATACATTAGAAAAAAAATCCACGGTGGTTCTTACAGTACTGATTGGAAATTCGGTAGGGAACATAAACGTTGCCATCATTGCTTTTTGGCCACTTGCAGCCGCGGGCTGTGCAGGGATCAGCGTTCCGTAGACCTGCAGGAATCGCAATGTCTCCAAACATCACCAGAGGCTCGTCCAGGTTCTTCCCTGCAAAACATCAGGAGGAAAATAAATCTTCTTTTTTGTACACGCGCTGTTATGTTTTTTTCCCCAAATGAAAAAAGGTTTATTTTATGTCTCTGTTTTCATTATAGAGGAAAATAGCAGCAACTGAGAGGGACAAAAATGTACCAAGGTTGGCGTTGGCCTTTTCCAGCAGAGTGGAGATATCGTCATCTTCAATGTTGTTGCCTGTAAAATAAAACCATTTATGTTTCAGCACAACAGATAAACAAAGATATAAACCTTTAAATCTAGCAGTAATGAATGTTATAATCACAACTTCCACTGCAATGACATACCATAAATTAAAAACTATTATTTGCACAAAGATTTGATTTTGCAAGTTAGAAGGTAACCTGTTTTTATTGTTTTTATCATATGCACAATAGAACAAATGGAACCATTAAAAGTAAAAAACAGTATTGCATTAAAGTTCACATTAAATGACACAAGTCTTACCAGAGTTTTCAATGGTCTTTTCAAAAGTCATCTGTAATAAAACAAAACAGGCAGAGACTTAATGAAGCTTAAAAACTTGTGTTATATTCTGTTTTATAATTATTATAAAGAAGAACAAATAAGTAAAAAAAACACTACTATTATAAAGGGAAAACAATTTCTCCAAACTTGTGAAAAAAAAAACAGCTTTTCTTGTACGTTTTTAAGTCATTTCACAACTATAAAATTAGTGTTGTGTAGAAAAAGAAAACATTAGTGTTGAGTTGAAAACATAAAACTCAGACTTACCTGTAAAGGGGAGCTGTGGGCGAAGCAGAGGAGCGCACTGAACGCAGCAGCGAGGAGCATCATGGCTGGTTATTGATGGGCAGCAGTATGACACAGACACAGCTGAAGAAAACCCAACAACTTGCAAGTTGGACCCAGCAGCTTTGACTTATATATGTGGAAAACCAACAGACTTCATTCCTAATAAGGCGTGCTGCTCAATAGACTTGACTGGAAGTATCAGGTATTACATAAAAGAGGCTGTTGCCTCAACTCTGTGGCACAATTGACTTTTTTTTTTGGAAATTTCTTGTTTTTCTCTCTCTCAAAATACAGTAAACAACCCCTCAAAATTTAAGACACACTTACAAAACACTTGAATTGACTCATGATTTTGTACGATTGTCAGCAAATGCACAAACGCTACACTTGTTAAAAATTACATTAAGTGCAGAAATGTTGAGAAATGTATTTTTGTTGTATACTAAATCAGTTTTAAATAATGTAAACTAACAATGTCTGAAGGGAAAACAGTGAAATGAGTCTTGGCAGCGTTCTGCTTGGATTTATCAGCATCACAAAAGAAAGAAAAGCTGTTCCTGCTGCAGCCTGGGTTTGGGCTGGTTGCGTGCTCCATCCAGATTTTTTCATTGGTTTTTTTCTGTATTTCCTGGGTATCATGTTTATTGGTAGACTTGTGGATAATAAAAACTTTTCCTGGATTTTAAATGTACCGAGGCTGGTGCATGTGATGCATTGAAGTAAACACCTCTTTGTAACAAATCTGTATAAAGCTTAACAATTAAAATAAAATAAAATAAAATAAATTGTTGTTACAGTGCTGTCAGTGTTTTTGATGTTCCCTTCTTTCTTTGTCTTTATTTAATGTGTTTTTTTGTGATAATGGTTTTCTGTATCTCTTTGTGTCTCTCGTCACCTTCATTATGTTTCCTGAGTCGGGGCTTTTACTCTTCTGTTCTTTCACCTGTTCTCAGCTGTCTTTAAATCCTGGTGTCTCCACTTTATTAATCAGCTCCTGTCCGTTTATTCTCTCCTTCTTCATTCATCTCTCCTGATGTACTATCATCCTTTGTCTGGTTTTCCTTCATTGTAATGCAAGTTTCTTGTATTTGCAGCCATGTGAAGTTGTTGTTTTTAATTAATTAATATGGTTTTTCCTGAGCTCCCTGTATTTAGTCTGCATTCTTAGTGCCATCTCTAAAACCACGAAGTAATTTCAACCCATAAATGTTTCAAACTGTACAAAACAGTGGTAATGCTTAGATCCAAAGTTGTGAAAATGAAATAAATATGCACCAGATTATTTTATTTAATTATATCACAACTTTTTTCTTTTAACAGGCTTTGGTTAAAATTCGAGTTGTAAAACTAGCAATAGCCTGTTTTGCAATTATATTGCAGTACTTCTTCAAAGTGTGGTCATTGTTGCAACGTGTTTGGTGTTCACACGTAACATTGCAAAGTTCTGCAAAATCAGAGAATTGATGAGAAAAAGCACAATAAAACTTTTGCGTGTTCGGCTGTCAGATAAATGTTTTGTAAAACAAAGTATATTAAAGTTAATGTCGCTGAACAGCATTAGAATGATTTGCAGCTTCTACAAGATATTTATTTATGTAGCAAGCTTTCATTTTGAAATTATTTCTGTTTTTAGCTTTGTAAGATTCTAACTAATACTGCTACTGACCACCTGCCTGTCTTAGAGGTGGCCAATAAACATAAAAACTTCACTGATGCTTTACTTTAATCAAAACCCTAATTTTAAGTTGGCATGTCAACTGACAACATCTCTACTCAGAGACAGTATATACAGCAGGTAAAATAAGTATTGAACACGTCACCATTTTTCTCTGTAAATATATTACTAGAGGTGCTAATGACATGAAATTTTCACCAGATGTCGGTAACAACCCAAGTGATCCATACATACAAAGAAATCAAACCATAAATG